TGTGTGTGTGACTGAATACCTCTACATTCTGTTCTATGGCCGCACAGTCTCTGGCAAAAGAGAATAAACGTCCCTCTTCAAAAGTTACTCTCTTTGGCTGGAATGCAAAGTTATGATATTTGTACAATGTTTCTGCCTCTTGCTATAACCTCATCATGTCTCTAATGATGTAATAGAGAAATATATTGCAATGAACGAAAACATTATTTTTATTTATTATTATTATTTATTTTAGAAGTAAGAGGAATGAGAAGGCGTACAAATATAACGGGAGACATAATGCAATCAACTGACAAAGCTCCACTTTGTCTATTTGAAGCTTGTCCCAGAAAAAGTTAGGGGGGCCACTTTGTATAGGGAACAAACCTAACGTCTCCGTGGTAAAATAAAAAAACAAAGCTGCTACATGCAGGGAGCACAGTGAAGTCTGAAGACCACCGCCTCGCTCCTGACGCACGGCTGAGTCAGCGGGGGTGCGCGTAGCTGATAATTCCCCAGACATAAAAAGCGTGCACATGGCTGCATCCCATCTCCAGCATAGTAGCTATAAAGAACTGACTCCTTTGCGCCAATTTGCCAGACACGAGAAACACCGAGTGGATATCACACAAATTTAAAGCCAGGGAACTTGACATCAGGTACGGTTAAAAATAAATTACTTTATCACATGTTTAGTCACGAGTTTTTTCTGTTAACTAGTAATTTGTAGAAAACCAATCATAAAACTCCCAAATGCAGTGTAATTAAATATGAATATCTGTTTGTAATTTACACGAAAATGAAGTCCTTCCGGTAGGACACTATTGATCTAAACAATACAATTTTAAATAAAAACAGATTTCAGATTTCTGTTGGGGGTAAGTTTATCTTTTTTAGTTTGATACATTTATTTACTCTTTTATCTATTTATTAAGATATTAAGGTAAGTTTGTCTTTTTTAGTTTGATACATTTATTTAGTCTTTTATCTATTTATTAAGATATTAGGTTAAGTTTGTCTTTTTTAGTTTGATACATTTATTTACTCTTTTATCTATTTATTAAGATATTAGGTTAAGTTTGTCTTTTTTAGTTTGATACATTTATTTACTCTTTTATCTATTTATTAAGATATTAGGTTAAGTTTGTCTTTTTTAGTTTGATACATTTATTTACTCTTTTATCTATTTATTAAGATATTAGGTTAAGTTTGTCTTTTTTAGTTTGATACATTTATTTACTCTTTTATCTATTTATTAAGATATTAGGTTAAGTTTGTCTTTTTTAGTTTGATACATTTATTTACTCTTTTATCTATTTATTAAGATATTAGGTTAAGTTTGTCTTTTTTAGTTTGATACATTTATTTACTCTTTTATCTATTTATTAAGATATTAGGTTAAGTTTGTCTTTTTTAGTTTGATACATTTATTTACTCTTTTATCTATTTATTAAGATATTAGGTTAAGTTTGTCTTTTTTAGTTTGATACATTTATTTACTCTTTTATCTATTTATTAAGATATTAGGTTAAGTTTGTCTTTTTTAGTTTGATACATTTATTTACTCTTTTATCTATTTATTAAGATATTAGGTTAAGTTTGTCTTTTTTAGTTTGATACATTTATTTACTCTTTTATCTATTTATTAAGATATTAGGTTAAGTTTGTCTTTTTTAGTTTGATACATTTATTTACTCTTTTATCTATTTATTAAGATATTAGGTTAAGTTTGTCTTTTTTAGTTTGATACATTTATTTACTCTTTTATCTATTTATTAAGATATTAGGTTAAGTTTGTCTTTTTTAGTTTGATACATTTATTTACTCTTTTATCTATTTATTAAGATATTAGGTTAAGTTTGTCTTTTTTAGTTTGATACATTTATTTACTCTTTTATCTATTTATTAAGATATTAGGTTAAGTTTGTCTTTTTTAGTTTGATACATTTATTTACTCTTTTATCTATTTATTAAGATATTAGGCAATGGCTGCAGCAATCGGCTCGTGTGGGGATGCTGACAATGTTGTAAGAGTGGATCCACAGCAAAAAGAGGTAGAACATCTGATCCAGAGCAAGAGGTGTGTGTGCATCATGCAGAAGTGGGGCGGCAAACGGGAGGTGATGTACACAGCATTTAAAGCACTCGGGTCATCAGTTGACTATATACAGGTATTTATTTTTATTTTCTCATCTACAACAGTTAAGGTCATTTTATGAAGAGAAAATGAAAGTCTACAGTTTTAATTACATGATTCTCTTTCCCCTCCAGGTCTGTGACTCTGACACTAAACTGGACCCTCTGGCCACACTGGAGCTCTGTAAGGTGCTGGAGAGTAACCCCAAGTACGGTGCTGTGGGAGGGGATGTGATGATCCTTAACCTGAAAGACTCTTACATCAGCTTCATGAGCAGTCTTAGGTACTGGATGGCTTTCAACATTGAAAGGTCCTGCCAGTCCTTCTTCAACTGTGTGTCCTGCATAAGTGGTCCTTTGGGTATGTAAACAATTCAAACATGCCCAGCAATGGTAGTCCCGGTTTTACTGCAGAGTTTTAACTCAGTGTAACTAATATTTCTTTTGTTTGATGAAGGACTGTACAGGAATGACCTCCTCCAGCAGTTTCTGGAGTCCTGGTACAATCAGATGTTTCTGGGGACTCACTGCACATTTGGCGACGACAGACATCTCACCAACCGTATGCTGAGCATGGGTTACGCCACAAAGTAAGAAACTTCTTAACGTTAATATAGAAAGAAATACACAAGACACAATTACCCTCAATTGATGTAATGATGTAGATAGAAAGGTTTCACTGAAGGTTTATTTTTTTGCCCTTTCCTTTAGATACACAGCCCGTTCCAAATGCTACACAGAGACGCCGGCTCCGTTTCTGCGGTGGCTCAATCAGCAGACTCGCTGGACAAAATCTTACTTTCGTGAGTGGCTCTACAATGCAATGTGGTGGCACAAGCATCACCTCTGGATGACCTACGAGTCAATCGTCTCTGGTATTTTCCCATTCTTTGTCACTGCCACCATCATCCAGCTGTTTTGGACAGGCACGCTGTGGGATATTCTCTGGATCCTGTGCTGCATCCAGCTTATCGGGCTGGTCAAAGCAGCTTATGCCTGTATCCTACGCAAAGACGTGGTGATGGTGTTTATGTCCCTCTACTCAGTTCTATACATGACCAGCCTGCTGCCTGCTAAGTACTTTGCCATTCTCACCATGAACAAAAGCAGCTGGGGGACATCAGGCAGGCGTAAGATTGTAGGGAACTACATGCCCCTCCTCCCTCTGTCAGTGTGGGCCGCCATTTTATTAGGTGGGCTCAGTTACACAATCTACAAGGAGAGTCAACTGGACTGGTTAACACCAGCCAAGACACTGGAGACCAGGTTTCTTATCTTTGGCTCTGTGGCCTACACTTTCTACTGGCTACTTATGATGTTCCTCTACTGGGTGTGGTCCCGCAGGTTATGTAGGAAACGTTCCCAAAGTTACACAGTGAATGCCTGAAGTGTCCAGTGAAGAACTAAGTCTACAGTGTTAATTTATTTGAATTCAACCATTTACCTTTTTTATTCAGTTGATATCAGTAATTTATTTTGTCTTGTGGTTTAGTAACTGATGGGCAGGGCAATTTCATGCAGCTGCTAAACCAACAAACTCCAAAAAAAAAGGGGGAATGTATATTGATAATACTGATAAAATGGATAACAGCAGTACTTTTGAATAAGTAAAGAAAATATCACTAATCTACTGGTGATATGTTAATAATGAAAGGGCAACAGATTGATTCATATGGAGATGTTGTTGCACATTCAAATGAAACTGTACTGAAGGCTTTTGAGCCTTGTATTTCTCAGGTTTCTTTTTGTCAGATGAAGATCGGAGAGATGACCTTCCATCTGATATTATTTTATGATATTTAAAGACCGGAAAACTACTATTTAGAAAACCTCTGTGTATTAGAAGATATGAGTAAGTGTCAGGTTTGGCGTGTAAAAATGCAAAATAGCGTTTGTGGTGAACTCAATTATAAAGCCAGATGAACTGAGGTAGAGAAAGGTTCTTTTACTTGTTGCAACCAAACAACCACAATACACAGTCCAGGATCACAATCAGGGTCAGCGCCGATAAACAGGTATAGCCAGGAGATCCAAACTCGAGAGGTCAAGGGGAATAAATCAGAAGGTTGGTACACTGCAGGCAATCAAAATCTGGGAGGGCATAGGCAAAACACGGTGGTTAAAAACAGTAATCCAAGGTCAGAAACAGAGAGTCATGCAAGGTATAAATGCTGGAGAGTCAGAGCTGGAGTCTAGAGCAATCTGGCAGCATTCTAGTGAGTGAATGCTGCCTATAAGCTGTTGGACACAGGTGTGAGTAATCAGAAGCAGGTGAACGGCACCTGTCCTTTAGTGTAGAATGAGATCTTACCCAGACTTTAAATCCTAACCACCAGTATACTACAGTTATCTGTCACTTCTCCAAAACACAGCATGCTGGATGTGGTTTTCCCCAGCCTCACCTTCTGCCTCCTATCTGTCAGAAAGCTGGTAGTCCACTGACTGGAGTGGAGGATGTCCAGGATGATGGTGTTGAATGCCAAGCTGAAGTCCACAAAGAGGGCCCATGCATAGGTCCCTGGGGAGTCGAGGTGTTGCAGGATGTAATGCAGTGCCATGTTCACTGCATCATCCACTGAACTGCTTGCCGGGTAGGCAAACTGCAGGGGGTCCAGCAGGGGGTCTACGATGTACTTCAGGTGGGCCAACACCAATCTTTCAAAGGTCTTCATAACTACAGATGTCAGGGTGACAGGTCTGTAGTCATTCAGTCTATTGATGGAGGGTTTCTTGGGGAGTGGGATGATGGTGGAGCATTTGAAGCTGGAGGGGACTTCACACAGCTCCAGTGACCGGTTGAAGATGAGTGTGAAGATGGGGGCCAGCTGATCAGCACACACTTTCAAGCAAGAGGGGGTCACACCATCCGGGCCTGGTGCCTTTGCGATCTTTTGTTTTTTAAAGAGGCCATGCTGTCAAGTTTGGTGTGTGATGCTGCCAAAGAGTGTTTATGGTGACCTTAATTATATGACCAGATGAACTGGGGTAGAGGAAGATTCTTTTACTTACTTAAAACAAACAAACATACAAAGTCCAGGATCTATATATCGGGTCGTTAAGACAGTCCAATGTCAGCGCCGGTAACCACGTACAGCCAGGAGATCCAAACTCAAGAAGTCAGGTAGGAGATAGCAGAAGGTCGGTACACTTGAAGGCAATCAGAATCTGGGAGGGAATAGGCAAAACACAGTGGTCAGAACAACAATCCAAGGTCAAAACTAGAGAGTCAGGCAAGAATTAAAGGCTGGAGAGTCAGAGCTGGAGTCTAGAACAATCTGGCAGCGTTCTAGTGAGGGAATGCTGCCTATAAGCTGTTGGACACAGGTGTGAGTAATCAGAAGCAGGTGAACACTATGAACACAGATTAAACTAAAGAGTCCGTAACTGAGGTGCGACTGAAAAGGAAGTGGATACAAAATAAAAGCACACAACACGAAGCAGATAAGGGCAGGATCGTGACAGGTAAGGAGTCCGGGGTCTGTGTATTGTAAAACTATTCAAACTAAATGTATGTAAATGACTAACAATGCAAAGACCTCCATGTACGGATGCTTCACTGTATCAGTTTAGTTTACTTCACCACTGTTGTTGCTATTGCACTGGATTTTGGATAACACTTTCTGCACCACCGCAGACTTACTTGAAGTTATTGCAAATTGCACTTATAGTACTGTGCAGTGGGAAAAATATACAAGCGGATAAAAGATTCTCTGAAAAAAACTTTGCAGTGATAATAATACTATGGCTGAACATTACTGAAACCTTACAGATGTTCCATTAAATATTCTATATTATACAGTATAGTTGCTGTATACCTACTCGCTTGATATGTGAAGAATGGGTGTACTTTGTACTATGCACTGTTGAATTTTGCTTTACAGAGAAGAATGGACAAAAACAAGTGTTTTTCTATATTTTCTAAGCTATACATGTAATGACTAGAGATTGAAAATGTGAACAAACTGATGGTTTCATGAACTTGTAAAGAGATGAAAAAATAAAATATGTTTTTTGATGAATACACTTCTGCTTTCTTTGAATCAAAATCACATTTCATTCTTTTTTATTCTCACAGAGAACAGAAAAACTGACTGGGTACCTCAGATCAGTCACATAATACAGTATACAGGTAGCAGTGCGATTACAAGGCGCAGTATAACATGACCTCAATTTTTTGCCACACACTTCAAGAAAACAAAAACTTTAGCATTAGCACATATGCTAACATTAGTGGGAACACAATGTGGCCGTGAATGTTGATCATGATAAGACTGTGCTGATGAGAACCGTGAGAAAATTCCTGAAAGGAGGGGTCAGGGAAGTGATCTCCCAGTGAAGTCACAGAATTAGATGCAAAGTAACTCCAGGCTGATAAATCAGAAAATAGGTTTTGTGCAATTGCTTATATTGTGTTGGTTTCCACAAATTAATATGGATTTTGTTCACCTGACATGACAAGATAATTGCATATTATTACTCTCCCCTGAGATAGAAATTTAGCTGATAACGGGAGCATTAATGTCAATACAAATACAGATGGCTAAAATTGTAAAAGTGTAAAAGCCTTTTACATGTGGCTGAGAAATTGGAGAGTTTTTTTCTAAAGGTGTTGGGGATAGGATGCAGCCTTACAGAAAAGGAGGTTTAACTGTGCAAACTTGGGTTTACTAGTCTGTTATCATGAATAATAAATGTTTGAGTGGAATATACTGAACATTTCAATCCATTAAACATGCTATATGCTGGGAGAAATGAACTGCTGTGATGGTGCTGACGCCTGAGAAAAGAAACACCTTCAGTTCATCAAACCACTGAGTCAAAATTAGCCTGTCAAACACCTGGATGTTAATTTGTGCTTTAATTTTCCCCTCTAACTTACAGGTTACCTTGTACAAATAAAATACTATACAGCTTACTAGTTAACATTACATGATAGGTTTATATATGATTTAAAACTCTACATTATCAAAATATGAAACACAAATTCAAAAAACAAACCTATTTACATATTTCTGATCCTTTCTGAACCTTCTCCTCACTCAGATGAGCTGGCTGAGACTGTAGGTTTTTCATCACCTCCAAGTGAACATTATGACACTGTGAGAAAGAGTGATCTTTATTTTGCATAACATTTAGAATACATCTCTTGCTGATAGCTTTTTAAAGAGCAGTAAAGGTGCTGAACGAATGACTCCCTGTTTTGTGACGGTAACAAATGATTGCAGAGCTGCCGCTGACAATCAGATTCAGAACTAAGATAGGCAAAGCTTTATTTTTGATACAAAACTAACTGCATTTCTCAATGGAACTTTTACGTCAGTGATTACAAACTCAAAATAAGGAGGTAAAGGCCACTACACTCATCCCTAAACACTTGTGATACAAAGCAACAGACACCATCTGCCTAACTCGCTGCCAGATAGTCAGTGAGTCAAGACCTTGGACACTGGTATCAATAATGGTTTGGCAGCTAAGACTATTTCTCACAAGAGGAAAAGTGTCTGCATTTCCTCAGGAGTAACATCAGCATTGCTCACCAGATTTCTCAGTAATAGCTAGTCTATATCTTTAGTCTATAAAAGCAGCACTGATATTGCATGGATAATCTGCCTAAGTTGTAATGTCGACCTGAGGGCTCTGAGGTGATGTACTTCTTTTATGAGTCAGGGAAAGGAGAGAAAGGAAAATTTTTTAGGAGCAAGCTAAAGGTCTGACGAAGCCAAACATCATTTCCCTTCAAGTCTGTTTTTAATTAACGTGTCCTCCTCCACCCTGTCTGGGCCCCCCTCCCTGACATCATGAAGGAGTTTCAGCTGGCACACATGTTTGATCTGCTGCAAATGGGAAGCAGAAGTATGAGGCCACAAAGTGTCTCACCTTCAGCACCAAATTCTTTTTCCTCTTATTCCAAATGAGCAGCCAAATTAGTCTTGGAGGAAGCTACAATTCACAAAGGAAGATGGGGGTAAACTTTCCCACCAGACTGCAGAAGCTCACTGAAGAGCTTGTGAACATCAGTATGGTGGTCACAGTTTCTTCCACTATATCATCCTGCACCTGTCATGCTCAGAACAAGACGATATGTTGAGAAATGGCAAGACAGTCTATGCTGTGGAAGACAAGAGGAAATCAGCTCTATAGTGGTCGTTATAATGCTTATGATACATATCATAAATAATTGCATGTTTTTGCTCTATGTAAAAAACACAAACAACAAGTTTTTCACTTTTTTGTTGTTGGTGTGGCTTCTGGTTGCCACCAATGTTCCAGTATTTTCTCGCTTTTGTTTTCTTTCTTTGTAAGGACTTTACCCTTACTTACATTCCTTTTCTGAATTCCCTAAGACCCCAGCCATAACCACAACCACTACTTTCCTAACCCAAACTCTTACTCTAAGCTTAAACCAAGGTGATGTACAAGTTATTAAGTTGCCACAATTTACATGGTGGAACCAGTATCTGGTCCCCACAAGGAGGACTAATTCTCCGTAATGTGAGTAATACCAGGCACATGTGCACTCACGCACACGCACGCGCAAACACACAACAAAATTAATCCAGATGGAGTCTATGGATGAATGAATGGATGAATATATAAAATAAGAATGGAGAATTCCATTAGATCGTTTTGTTATTTTTGGCACACAGTATCTGGACAAATGAAGTTATGGGTGTTCACCCAGCCTGTAGAGAGCTGACAGACTCAGGGTCAGCTGCAGAATGTACACTCATACTGGTGGTGCTACCATCATTTCCTGAAACTTGCACAATAAACCCATATACCAGTGGTCATAAATAAGAGCTCACAACCTTTCCCCCAGATGTTTGTCACCGTATGGAGCAATCAGGGCCACAGAGGTCACTTTGTAGCTTCTCCTTGGGCTTGTTGGAGTCATTTTTCATGTTGGAATGTCACAACAATGAGTCAGTTTGATTCCAGTGATACATTATTACCTTCATTTCAGATGCAGCCTAACGAGTAAAGAAATGCTGCGGTGTACTCTTTATACCAAGCGTAGCTTTGAGAATGGAGCAGTTATTGCTTGCATCAAAATTTGATCATTTCTGCCTGAGATATTGTGGGTGACAAATACACCTGAGGCCAAGAAACTGAGCAGAATAATGATTATCACACATATTATTCAAAGGTCAGTTCTAGTAAAAATAAGCTTCTATCTATTTATTTACTGTATATAACTGCTCAAAACAGTTTTCAAATTATGATAATAACCAATCCAATAAATATGCCATGATTACTTCCTAAAATTGTGATGGGTCTACAATAGTTTAAGCATGAATGAAAGCTCCAGATCTAGCCACAGGAATAATATTTTTACCCAAACAGAAATATTTATGTCAACAACGAGACCTGCTGAAGAAGCTTTTTTTGACATATAACCTTTATAGTGCTTTAAACCTCCAGGGCACTCCTTTTTGTTGCCTGTGACCTATTTAAATATGAAGTATGAGTTGGGGTCCAAAAGAAAGAAAACATGTAAAAGACTTACCACACAATGTAGGGCCAAGGGGGTTTCTATAACCCAGAATAATCCACAAAACTAATTCTGATACTAGTTCACATTTCCTGTCTTGCCACAATGCATCACTGGTTGCCTTGACAACAGGGTAACCCAAGAGAATAAATACAAGGGATCTGCCCATTAAATGACAAGTTTGGCGTTGAGTCACATCTGACTATATTTAGATGCTCCAAAAGTGCTTTATAAAGCTAGTAGTTCCCTGCCTGTCTTGTCATTGTGTTTTCTCCACCAGTAAGACATAAGTTAAACACTGCAGGTTTCTCAGAGGCTCAGCAAAACTGAGTGTGATTTATATAGTTAAAAAAGTTCTTGTAATGTTAAAATATCATACCGTTCATCTACCTTGCATTTCAAAGACAAAGTAACAGGGAGTTTATACTGTATTATGCTATAGAACAAGATTATTTGAGCTGTAAATAAAATGAATTTGAATATTAAGTTAAAATCATGCATAAGCCAAGATAATAATTTGAAGGCTTACATGAGAAGAGAACTGTCATTCCTAGTAACTGTAGATCCAGAGAATTCCTGTGGTACTGGTAAATGTTCCTGTGGTATAGAGTTACAGTACCACATACAAAATAAATACTGCGGTAACATACCACAGGCCCTATGGTAATGTACCATAGACACACCACAGACTGCATTCTTTGAGGTAGTACACCACAGAGCTTATAGTAATCTGCCATAAATGTGCCTTATGCTGCCACAGACTGTATAATAATGGACCAGAAATGTACTACACACCACCAACTTTGCAATAACACATCAGAATATATAACATAGATTACTCAAGAGTGGTGCAAACAATAAATGTATGATTTGCCACATAATGTCCAAAATGCAGACATTGCGTGTTGGGTGATACCCATGAGAGCAGACTGTGCCTGAGTTGTTCATCTCCTTCTTGTACCTGGAACCACTAACCACAGTTACAGTCTGTTGCCCTGCACTTATCAGAACAAAACAGGAGGTTCTAAGCAACTAGCGGAACACAGGTCAATACTGGGATTGTTTACTACAGTGTGTCTGATTTATTGGGTATTAAACACTCTGTTCTTTTCTCTCTTTACAGACTTACTAACTGGTGTCCATGTGATCTCAGTGTTATGGCTAAGAGAAACTAAATTTTACTCTTTACTAAAATTGAGCAACAGATTGGACAAGATATTACTGCCAACAGTACATGTGGCTTACTACTGTAGGCCAAATATTTTCCCAACCGCAACATATGTAATTTCAAACGAGCAATAACGCAGTATCAGGTTGAGCAAAAAGGGTCATCTCGAATGTAAGATAAGAATCTAAATTAAGACCTTTAGTACAGTATATACCACATACAGTATATTTGAATCATGACAGTTCTGACCTGCATGATGTACCTTTCTCAGACCAACTACTGCTTGCATGTATCTATGTCAGGCTTTAATTGTGGGTAGATACGAAGCAGGGATAGTACATGTGCCAACAGCTGTTTAACATCACAAAATGTGTACAAAGACATATGGCAGTACTCTTAGTGATCATAAAAACAGGAAAACAATCATCACATAGTGTTAATGAGCTACTTGTGACTGATGGTTTTGCAGGACTTACATGAAAGAGAGGCAGGACAGAAATCAAAGTAGCAAAGACCCCGATATCCTAATTGGTCGCTGTTTGTATTGGTCAAGCTTTGATAACATGTATCCTATGTTTTCTGTAATGCACCTCTATGGCATCTCTTTGATTACAGAGATAACCCTAATGACACCATCTGGGTATTTTCTCAAACTTGATCAGGCTCCTTCAGAGGCAAAAAAGACATTGACTGTTTTATTGGTTCAGTAAAACTTCTCATTATGAGCAACATGGTCATCACGTGTAAAATTAGTGCAATTCCCCTTTAAACACAAATATTTAATTGTAAAAATATTTAAAAAATATGTATTTATTTCTTGAGCTTCAAACCATTAATAACAAATATTTGAACATATACACCTTTAACTGGATTTTTATGTTGTTAGTTCCTCGTTTCCTCATTTTTAACATTTTTTTGGATCCTTTTCAGGTAGTCAGTCAGTAGTCAGTTAGGCAGGCAGTCTGTCAAGGGCTGAAACTGGTCATAAAGGAGGTGAGAGTACTTCACTGTTGCACAGGATGCAATCACAACAAGAAGTGACTACAGCTAATTAGTCAACTTGAAAATAAGGACACACACGTGTCAGATTTCCTTGGCCTTTCATGATATCACTTATATCTAGTGGCCGAATACCACTGTCAGACTAAACCAGCTGGTGCACAGAGTGAGGAGATCCAGTACAAGCACATAGGTGTCAGAAAGTTTTTGCAATATGTCTATTAGCACTTCATCATCCACAGGCCACGGACTGTGTGGTACGACACTGCATTTTTGAATAGGGTAGTTTTTGTTTTTTAAAGATGTTTGTTTCCTCCTGATATCCAGGTGTCTGTGGGAAATTTTATTTGACTTATTTCTTATTTTTTAACACAGGGGACAATGGTAGATTTCATTAGCACAGTGTTTATGCAGTTACACCTGTCTTTGTATTTGATGAATCGTGTTAACTTGTAGTGTGTGTGTGTGTGTGTGTGTGTGTGTGTGTGTGTGTCTGTGTGTGTGTGTTCTCTGGGCTGACCAAATGCAACTTTAATGGAAACACTGAGAGAAGCTTGAATTCTAGCCGTGACATCTTGCAAAATGTAACTTCTTTAAACTATTAGGAGAAGGTTGTGTTCTCACCTTTGAGCCAACTAGACAATGAGGTCTTTGTAAGATTGGAAGAGAGCTGCAGAGACTGAGATCAGTTTGGGAGCTAAAGCCCACAAGAGGAGTTTTATTTAAAGGTTTAAAATATATGTGCTTGTATAAGTGGTCTGCAGCTGCTTGTGAAAGCAACTTGGTTTTATTGTTGATACTCTTGCAATAAAACCTTGTCTGCACCAGAGTGTGAGTACATTGTATTTTTTCATTGGGGACAAATTGTGGAGAGACTTTTTCTTTGACTGCCACAGAGAAATGTTCCTCCATGTCCCTGACGCTATCAGTGCAGGTCACCTGTGTATACAGTTAGCAACAATGAAAAAATACAATGTTGTATTGGGAAAAATAAATTCACTGAAAAAAATGGATTCAAAACACAACCTTTCAGTGACATTTGTTGCTTCCAGAATTCCATTAAGGATGAGAGTGAAGGTTTCATGTGCATATGGACATGCCTGTATCTGTACACGTGATCATATCTACTTTTGTATTTTTGTGTACGAGTGTGACAGAGAGTGTAAGTTTGACTTAAAGTCATACTGACCCAAAGGAACCTGGGGTGGACTGCTGCTCTATTTTTGAAGGAGAAACAACCGCTGAAAGAAGTAACTGTTGGTCTTTTGGTTTGCACCCATGACTTCAGCATTTTTTCCACCTTGTGAAAAGTTTTTTTCAGGTTCCACTGACCAGAGATCAGCGGGACAGAAGTCAAATCTGTCACCTAATGCCTCTGCCATTCACTCCTGACCGGTCCACAAAGGCAACTGAAATCGAAGTTTTGTGTGAGGCATTCAGCACTGAGGGCTAATTCCAGACGTGAATATGCTGTAGTCACATTTTCAGTAAAAATCAGTTTTGCAATTTGAGGTACTTCCTTATTCTCACTTATGATTCATATTTGTTTTTAACAATGTTTTCTTTTGTTCTAGCAACCAAATATTCTGTGGACCATGCCCCTGGTGTGACACCCTGAAAATGTAACAATAAAGTTCAAGCTAAATATAGTCTGATATGTCTAGGGCGACTTCTTCTGATCAGATCTGGCATGAGGTGTAATGCGAATACTGCCGCCACCTTGAAGGCTCTCCGATATGAGTCAGCTGAAAATGAAGAAAAGATCTTTTCTAAATTGTTTTTCCCAGATGTACTTATACTTGTTTGAACACTTGTATCAATCATTTTTTTCTGAAATATTGTTTTCTTGTCTCACTTTGATCCTATCCAAGCTCTTCAAATGTTCCAGGTACTGTCTCGCACCTTTTGTCTGAAAAACCTCAGCTCTTAAAATACAACCACAAACTAACTTTTTTGAATTATACAGACTGATTTGATTTGATTTCTTTGAGAATCTTACACTGTCTTAGTTAAAGCAAAAGCATTTCAGAGTAAGGCTTAGGCTTAATATTAACTAACCACTGTTAAAGATGCCACAAAGCTTCAGAAAAGTCATGTCATTATATTATGTGCAGTATTTTTGTCTGTTGCACAGTCTAACTAAAACAAATGTTTGTCAGAAATTAGGAACCTGAGGCAAAAGTGAAATGAAAGATTCACACACTGTATTGACAGCTCCCAGTAAATTTAATAAAACACTGTTTGGAGCCAAAAAGAAAATATAAAGACACACATTCATCTCTCAGGTGGCTGTAATCTGCATGACTGAGTCTTCTTTCAGCCTGGACCAGTCAGAGAAGAGCTGGATAACATTGTCTGGTTCTCCCATATGGAAACAAAGCATGGCTATGAGGAGAGGGCAAAAATAAAAAATGAATTAATATATATAGATTTTAAAAAAGATACCAATCTAATGCAACATGAGTTCATACATTTAGACAGACATATTTTGGTCTCATATGGGAGAATCATGTTTCATCATTTCACATGGCTTTATTTGCTCTCAGGTTGTTGTTGTTATTGTTGTTCTTTAATATGTATTAATTTATTAATTTTGGCTCAGACTGGAGATAGGGCTGTCTACTAATTACAGGTTTTGGAATCCATGGTTTCTCCTGTCCACATGCTGAGGGCTCCTTTGGTAAGAAACTGAGCCCCAGCAAACACATAGTACTACATAGTTTTACCACTGCATACCCTATATGAACCCTCCCTCAGTTCTTTTGCCTTGTAATATGTATTTGTCTATAAAATATAAATATGCAGAATAACTTGCAACTGCTGTATAGCTATTAGATAAACCGAGCAAAGTACAAAATACAATATTCTTCTTTAAAACTTAGTAGTTTAGTTTTTGTGCCCAGTGGCAGTGGCATTTTACTTACAGTAAGTACAGTAAGTAAATGTAGTGGTAGTAGTACTTCCTATCACTGTTTCAGACACATGAGAAGACATGTACATACAGCACAGTACAGTGTAGACTGGGTCTCTTCTGCCCTCTAGTGCTGGAGGGAGTCATACATAGGTTTTCTGTAAGCCATGATGTAATGCTGTGTAAAAGACCAGAGGATGAAATACCTTTATTGCACAACATGTATCTTCATAACTCTCAGGATCCTAACTCTTCATCTACATTTGGCTGTTCAGAATGACTTGTTTGTACTGGTAATGATGACAAATACAGAGCCCTGAAACAGCCCCCCCAACCAAGAAACAAAAAATGAGACATGATAACAACCAATATACTGTAAATATATATGCACTGACTAGGGGCATCCTGGATATACAGGAAAGGTATGCAAAATTCTGTGCTGTTTATGCCTTATATTGTGCCAATAATAGCTTGGTCTTACCCGAGGGAGAGGAACAGCAACAGCAGCAAAGCTGTTAAACACGCAGTGAGAAGCAGTGGCAAGGGGAGGAGGGGGGAGCGGGGAGGAGGACCACCAAGTGCAGGGAGAAACTGCCCTCCTGGGAGAAGAGACAGGTCGAATGTCTCCTGGAGCTCTGTTTGGCCTGCCGCAACCTGGGGGGTCACTTAGACACAGAGAGAGGGAGATGAAGAGGATGAATACAAGGGAAAAAATGATGATGAAGGAACAGAGAGAATGCAACAAAAAGAAGTAGTTAGTGAAAAAAACATTTATAATAACTTCCCTTAAAAATAATTGTTAAAAAAAGAAAAGAAAAAGTGCACCATAAACACATTGAAGCCTGATAAGCATGTACATTAATACCTACTTTGAGAATATAGGAATTATACCTCTACCTGCACACACATTAAAGTTATATGAATAAGCTTATGAATACATGTATATACATATATAATTTCTTTGACAGCATCCATGATTTCACTTTATAAATTTAGCCAGTCTTGTTTCATAATGTGTCAATATTGCCTGTGTGATTTGTCATGATTTTAATTTGCTGATTATATTTGTCTATACTATACCTCCAATTGTTATTACTTTTGAAAAGGTACATCATAGTACTGTGAGCAAATATTCAGTCAGTTGTTCCCATCATCCCAGCAGACATTACACCTTCTAAGATAAATAAAATTCACTCAATCCAATGTGAGTTTAAAATTTCATGAGACCAAACTCTTTTAATAAAGTTTGCATGGTTTTCTTTACATTCCTTTGATGATACAGATAAATTATATTTACCACATCCGTATCCACCAAGTACAGTATAGTTTCTAAGTATGTGTCAAACTGTTGTTTTACAGTATGTGTTCTGCTACAAATGTCTTGTCATTGACCAATATCAATCCCAATTTCCAATTCTTTCTCCAAGAAGTGGTGCATATTGTTACCTGTGAGATAGAAATATAGTCTCACAATGGAGCGTTGGCCTGAGTAGACCTCACACTGGTAGGTGCCTTGATGCTGCAAGCTGGCTGAAGGGATAGAATAGAGCCTGTCCACCCCTGCAGTCACTTCTTTAAACTCATCCACCTGCTGGGTTTTCACCTGTAGGAATAAACCCTTACAGCTTATATATTTGCAGGGCTCATTTATGTTAATCAGTACAAATACAAAGACATAAAGTATGGGCAGTTAGAAAAACAGTTTATCATTTTGGGAAAATACCTGTATTTGATTTCTTGTTAAAAATTTGACAAAAAAAAAAAACACATACATCTATAAAACTCACAAATTAAAGTATTAAATCTTGTACCAATTAAAAAAGATGTAAGATATTAATTAGTGAGTTTTGGAGGTGCTGGTGTAACGTGCTCCCTACACAAGCCACCACTCTGTGTTGGATTGTGTGAGTATTGCTGTGCTACCATTTAAGGATAGTAACATAATTTATACACTGCTCAGTTTAGAGTTGACTCACAGTGACTGGCTCTGACATACTCACATGAAAGATCTGAACGGTGTTTTAGTACAGCTAGCTTATTCAGGGATGGCACTATTTTCGACATATGACCAATTTATCACTGTAAAATATTTTGCATCCATATTGCATAAGCCATGGACTGGCACCTTTTCCTTAGTCCTTCCTTATTTAAAAGACAGATATGAGAGTGATATTGGCAAAAACCTTAATATTTCCCAAAATGTTGAACTATTCCCTTAAAGGTATTGCCCTGACCCTGAATGGTTCACAATATGCCGAGCATACCTCTTCTGCAAACCTCCAGATCACCTCGATGTCATTTGGTAACTGAAAGGGCACGTCGCACCACATCTGGCTTCTGCTGAACTCCATTACTCTAATTTCTTTAACTGAAATAAACATATGGCCATACACACAGAAGGCAGAAGCGCACACACAAACACACACGCACAGATAAAATTCACAGGGGGCAGCTCTTGCAGTCTGAGCCCTCCTTAATGATAACACTTAAGCCCAGTCTCTGAGGAGTGGAGTAAAAGTGATGATATGCTAAACAGTGGCTGCTGCGCTGTACAGGGTTGATACAAATACCGTCGTGTGTGGGAGTCAACTGTCACCTTGCATAAAAAAGGCAAGGACTTAAAGAGTACCTTGGGGGCTCTGATATAATGTGTGGAAATAAAACCTTGCCTCGGTCTCCTTTTCAAATCCCCACTTTCTGCTAAGAGCATTTCGAGGATCAAAAGAGGATAATTTCAAGGATGCTTATAAAGGTGAAAATATAGTTACATAAGGATGTGTCAAGTCTGAATTAGTACACCCTTTTTCCTTCTGAAAATGTAACAGTATCAGCGATTCAACGTGTTGGACAGGATATTAATACTCACTTGGACAGTCGAGAGGGAATTCACAGGAGTCATACTGGCAGGTAATACAGTTGTACACTGCCCCTGCACTCTGAAAACCTGATGGGTGCATGAAACTCACACTGATATTCTGTTTCTAATAACAGAAAAACATGATTGTGAATGGACACAAAGGAATAAAGGCACTAACCACATGGAGGAAAACATCCAGAGACTGTGGGAAGAAAGAAAGATAGTTAGATTAACACATTTTATTTTGATGACTTGATTTAGTGTCGGTGCCAGATCAACCTGACTCCTTCCTTTATTCTCCACAGTATTTGCTGCAATAATGTATCTAGCTTATTACAGAGAAAGCAGAGATACCAGAGGGAGCTGTAATGACCTAATCTAGGCCTTGCTACAGATGAAAAGATGAAGGAAAGGGGAAGAGTCCATGTCTCACCTCTAGGCAGTTTGGAGGCAGCAGCGATGAAATTGTCTGCTGCTGTCTGCAGCTTTTCCTCATACACTGTGTCTGATGGATGGAAAGGAAGAGGAGGAGGAGGAGGAGGAGGAGGGAGAAGACAGAAATATTTGGCTCAACATATCCTGTTGGATTGTGTGCTTTAGGGCATCATTTAAAAATCTCCCATTTCTAACTCTCCTCTGTTTCTGACCTCACTTAACAATTCTAATGCTCTAAAAACTCATTTGCATGTGCAGTCATATGTCTATCAGAGCAAGATTTTAGGTACCGCTATTCAGCCTTTGGTCAAACTCCTCTACCATGGGCAGGATCTCTGCATCCAGAATTTCCTTCAGTTGTTTGTCATAGCCTTTACCTGAAAGAGGAACAAATACAGTATCACACAAATATAAGTCAGTTGCCTCACTCTGCACATGCTAATCGCTAATTGTTTTCAAATGGCTACTTAGAGCCGATTTACTAATTTCATTATGTTTGCCTTAAAGACAAATTATAAAACACTCTAAAAAACATAAAAAGGTAATTTTTCACACCTACTCTACCAGCCTCAATTACACTCTCATTGTTGTTGAATATACGGTCCAGCTCCATGAAGCAGGTGTCGACACTTCTGATATTGTGTTCTGTCAAAATGTAACCCCAACACAGGCGAAGACTGTCCTCCACATCAACAAAGCACTGATAGCAGCTTAGAGAGCTGCTGAACAGCAAGCAGACACACACGAACCACAAAGCACATGTGCACATTTTCCAATATAAGCATCAAACTGAACAAAGATTTCTAAAACAACTGTTTTTATTCAAATCCTGCTCTCATAGTGACAGTAAATGTGGAAATTCCAAGGCTTAATATTCCAAGAGAAGCTAGAAAAATAAAGCCTTGGATAGAAATTGTATGTGCCTGTCCCACATGAGATTAAAAGAAAAGGTTTTGAAAGTGTCTTGCTCATGTTTTCTCATCATGTTTGGGTTTGAAAGGACAGTATCATAGACACCCCTCTATACTTCCCTCCATTCTATTGTCTCTAGTCCCCATTTCCTGCTGCCTCAATGCACCAGTTTTACTGCAGAGCACAGAGCTGGAGTGAGCCAATGAGGGAGGCGGTGGCGGAGGGCGGTGGAGGGGGAGAGGGGCAGATGAAGAAAGAGTTAAATTGTTATGTACATGGAATGCGTGTTGGCAAAGAAAACCCAAGAGAAATATACAAACAATAAAAGTCTAACTGGTTGTGTGGGGACGGTGAGATGGAGAATTAAAGCCAAATAGACCAAAATAAAAAGAAAGAAACAAAAGGGACAAACAGAATGAAAGGAATGAGACAGAGAACGTGCACATTCTTGCGGGTGGAAGTAGAAAATTTAAAAAGTAGCGTTGCAAAAATGTTGGAGGGGAACGAAAAGTCAGGAGAAACAAAGGGAAGAGAAAAAGGTGCAAGAGGGAGGAGAGGACACACAAGTGACAGACGGAGGCAGGGGAAGAGGAAGAGGGAGTGGGACTACAAATCAAGTAGACTGCCTCATCACATCCTGTATCCCCCACTCGTCTCTCATCCTCCTCATACCCTACACCACCCACCCCTCCTCAGTGGTCCCTCGCTCCCGGTGCATCTCCATGACAACCAGACAGGGTGCCTAATACATGAACTTAATATATTTCCAGTGGCAGGGTGAGCTGGGCACTAATGCATTCATCTGTCTCCACACAGACAAGCCAATCAATATTAGGCAAGCATCTGCTCCAGGACTGCCAAAGTTTGAGCGCTAGTCAGACGGTCAGCCACAGAAAATCTCAAATATGTTTGTGTGTGTGAGAGAGACACATTCTATTGTGTCTGTATACAGCATGTGTGTGGCAACAAGGGCACTTTGATAATGTCTTTTCAAACACACCAGAACATGAAAAATATATAAAAAATTTTGGTGATAAAAAGGGTACTTTTTATTTATGTGTAAGATGCCATTTTTATTCAGAAAAAAAGGGAATGCATTCCATTTTACATTCACAAACTGGTGCTTCATGCAGACAGACATTACCCAAACTGTTCTGTCATATTTTATTAAGTTACAGAATAAAAAAAAAATAAGTGCAACCTTTCCTGTACAAAGTACAAAAACATACGCTTGAGTTAAAAGCTCCACTGATTTTTGAAAGTGACATATGACGGGGTCACAACCCGTGGCTGTCTTCTTATTGGCCCCTATTCAGGGCTATAGCACAAAGCCAGCCAATAGAGTTGGCCCCCTGAGAGTACTGGTGCTACAGGAGGATTAATCGTCTTCCTGTTCAGTAACATAAATGATGATAGATGATAGCTAAATAACCACAATGAAGCAGTTTGAGGAAACATACAGTAAGAAAGAATGGTGACAATGGCAAAGAAAGCATTAATACTTTAAAACAGGTATTTATCAAGTAAAAATATTTGACAAAAGGCTCCTCTTTAGTGGACGTTGAAACTGAATGCAGCCCTGTTCCCGAGGACCTCACCTGTGACCTACTTTGACCTCACAGGTTAAGGGTCTCAGGGACAGAGGGGCATACTGTGAAATTAAAACGATTAACATTAAAATACACAGGGAGAGTTTGAATATTTGGTTTGAAAAAGGCTGCAGAATCTCTGCACCGAGACAAAGACATGACCTCATCTGACATTTGGATTCTGCGGCATCAGCCGGTCTCCTGGTTAACTACACATCAGCAAAGCTTATCAGTTCAATTAAAACACAATTTTCACACAACAATCACATTGGTCTGCATCTCAACCAAACTAATCTGAGCTGAGCACATTGTGAAGGAGACACAATTATTTCAGGAAAAACATTGCATTTTAAACTATTGTTTAAAGTCATGGACATACTGAACATGATTTATTGAGCTGGCACTGAGAAATCACAGCATCTACTGGCTTTTCAGAGCTCAGGGAGGTAAAAGGCTTTAAAATCAGCTTCAATCAAATGTAAGAAACATAGCAGTTGTAGAATTATCATAAAGTAACTTAAAATGACAAAGAAAAGGACATTTATGTTTAGTTCATAATAACTGTATAACTTTATTCAAGCATATACAAGACATAAAGAGCCAAATATTTGCCTTAAACATAAACAGAATGTCAAAAAAGGGTATATCTTTAGTTCTTGAACTTTCTAATCCTCCACAACTGCCTGTAAAGGAAACTTAGATGGTTACATCTTGATGAATTTACAGAGAAATACGGTCCATGTACATTCAGTCAGAGACACTTTAAGATACACAGGTCTCACAGGTTTGACAATGTCTGTGCAGTATTTATTATCATACTATATTTTATTAATTTAATATTAAGAGCAAAATAAGACTTTGGTGATAAAAGAAAAAGAATCATTGCGCAGGAACGCTAGAGGCCGATGCCACCAACCGGTAGACAGTCAGAATGACACACACTGACTGTGGAAGACCAAATATGTTCACATGTTGTGGAAAGGGGAAATTAGCACATTTTATGACCCATCTGTCAGGGAAGCATATTTTCATGTAAAACACCTCAGTGGGAATGTGACTAAAGGTGCAATGTGTCTGTGACGCGTACTGCACCAAACTGAGCTGCAATAATGCATTTCTGTCTTTACCTACAGGTCGACTTCGTGAGCTGCAGGCCTCAGGATTTTGGAATATAGAAGTGAGATTCTGAGATCATCTTTGTCGCAGGTGACACACATGACAGCTGGGGCAGACAAGAGGGAACAGCAGACGTTTGTCATAGCTTCACCTCGGAATGAATTATGGATTTGTCTGCAGTAGAGGTTGTTTTTAAGTTAGTTTGAAATGCTATAATTTATGTCAGCATAAGTCAAACAAAACTGTGAATTACTGTAATGACGCCAAATCGCATGGCACAACAGAAATGACCATTCATGATAACTGCAGCATGTTTAAATGTGTATCGTAAAACATTGCCATTCAGTGGCAGCTGCTATAATTTTTTTTTCTAATTTACATTCCCGATGTAAATAAGGTAATTATAACAAGGGACATTTCCATTTGAGATGTAAAAATATGCTGTTAAAGAAAGTGAGAATTCAAACAAGGTGCAAATTAAATGTGGACGACCTGTCGACAACATGCAGCCTAGACACTAATTGAAAGGCTTATCAGTGTCTGCAAACACAGACAGGATGTCACAGTTACACTACAAAATATATACAGTTAGAATAATGCGCACAGCCATGCACAAACAGCAAAACATGACTTTTAATACTGTCGTAGAAAATGATGCGAAGAATTAGTGATGAAAAAGTTTCTGCTAAAAATGCATATCACAACGGAATAGAAAATAAGCACAAAATCCTTAATCTACATTAAACGTAAGACATTCACCTTTGAGAGAAAATGTGAAAAAAAAGACAGTCACCTTAAAGTCAGCCTCTTCTTTTCTTTTCTTTTCCAGTCAGAGTGAGTGTGTGCCTCCTCTTCGCTCTCTCTCTCCCTTTTGCTCTATGCTGGGGCCAGACAGAGAGCCCAGCGGCAGGTAGGTTACAGACAATAGTATTGATTCCATTATTCTTCTCTCTACCTACCTATCTGACTAACACCAACAGAGCTGACAGCTTCTCACCTTTTGTCTCAGCAGGGCTGCCGTCACAAACACACAGAGGTGTAAACCAGAGAAAAATCAAGAAGAGAGAAAAAAATCTTCCTTATTTCTGCATGTTCACACACCAAAGCTCTCGGCGCACATGCTATCCAACACTTACAGACGACACACACATAGCCATTTACCCACCGTGCTGCATTCACGGTCTCCAGTCGTCTCTTCTAGCTTTTATTTTACCTCAGTCTCTTCTCTTCCTTCCTCTCTCCCATTTTCTATCTAGTCATCATCCTTCCATCTCCTTCTTTTTCTTCTAACATTTTTCAAGCCTCACATCTCTACTAGCACAGTACCCCCCCATACACACACACACACACACACACACACACACACACAATCCAGTGTTTGAGCTACATATATGTGTGTGAACGTGTGAGAGATAGAAACAGAGTGCAGTGAGTGCATGCATGTCTGTGATTATATGTGTGTATGCCTGCCAAAGCAAGCAACTGTGTGTTTTGGCGTGTGTGTGTGTGTTTGTCAGAGGGAGATGGTGGGGGAGGGTGGGTGTCAGAAAGGCTAGTAGAAAGTGGGGATGGAGGGGGAGGGTCAGAATCTCTAATAGGATGGGAATAGAGAGAAAATATGAAGCCCAGGAGTCTCATGAACCTGAGAGCCTGACATTACTGCTTCCTCCTATGTGTACAGCAATCATACCATCATCAAATTGATTACGGGATTTATGGTGTTGCTCCAAGACAACTGTAAATTGCAGCTGGAGTGACAT